TCTGCAACCATAGTAAAACAAAGACTTATATTTTTGATATTTATTTTATATATTTAAACGCCATTTAACAAAGAAAAATCAACCAAAAAATGAGTTCGCATGTCACCTCTGACACGCGTATCATAGGTTCGCCATCACTGGGATAGAGCATCGGCCTGCTGACTGAATGGTCCCAGGTTCGATTCCGATCAAGGGCATATACCTTGGTTGCGGGCACATCCCCAATAGGGAATGTGCAGGAGGCAGCTGATCGATGTTTCTCTCTCATTGATGTTTCTAACTCTCTATCCCTCTCCCGTCCTCTCTGTAAAAAATCAATAAAATATATTTTTTAAAAAATAAAAAATAAATAAAAATCAAAGAGAAAGAGAAAAATATTAAAAACAGACAAAGGAAGAAAGGACACATCTCTTGTCCTTCAGGAGAACAATAAGAATGAAAGATGACTTCTCAAGAGAAACTATGAAAGTCAATAAAATGGTACCGTTAAACTACTAAAGAAAAAAATGTCAACATAGATTCTATACTCAGCAAAAATACCACCAAAACATGAAAAGTAATTAAAGACATTTTCAGACAAAAAACTGAATCTGTTATTAACAGATCTTGTATTTCAAAGAATAATAAAACAATTTCTTTAGAATGAAGGAAAATTATTCTAGATGAAAGCATGGGATGTAAGAAATGAATAGCTACAGAGAGTATATATATATATATAAAGATAAATATAATAGACTATTAACTGTTTGAAGCAATAATAATAATGTCTTGTAGGGTTTATAACATATGAGGGGTAGGGCAAAAATACGTAAGAATAGCAAAAAAGTAGAAGGCAAGTAAATGGATTTAAACTGCTTTAAGGCTTTTGCATTTGGGGGGGAACGTGGTAGAAGTACTAAATAAAGGTAGACTTTTGTCATTTCTAAAGTAATCACTAAAAGTATAATATAGTATTCAGTTTCTTCACAAAACTAAAAATAGAACTCCCATTTGACCCAGTGATCCCACTTCTAGGACTATAACCCAAGAAACTAGAAACACCAATCAGAAAGGATATATGCACCCCTATGTTCATAGCAGCACAATTTACCATAGCTAAGATTTGGAAACAGCCTAAGTGCCCATTAGCAAATGAGTGGATTAAAAAACTGTGGTACATCTACACAATGGAATACTATGCTGCTGTAAAAAAGAAGGAATTCTTACCATTTGCAACAGTATGGATGGAACTGGAGAGCATCATGCTAAGCAAAATAAGCCAGTCAGAGAAAGATAAATATCATATGATCTCACTCATTTGTGGAATATAATGAACAACATAAACTGATGAACAAAAACAAATCCAGAGACAGAGAAGCAACGATTAGAACATCAAACCTCAGAGGTAAGGTGGGGAAGGGTGAGGGTAAGGGGGTGAGATCAACCAAAGGACTTATATGCAAGCATAAAGGCCTAACCAATGGACACAGACAACAGGGGGGTGAGGGCATGAGTATGTGTGTGTGTGTGTGGGGGGGGGGGGTTAAGGACACATATGTAATACCTTAATCAATAAAGAAAAAAAAAGATTAACCAAGGGGGACTAATAAAGGAGAAAAAATGGAGGAAGAAACAGAGGAACATGAAGAAATATTCTTTGGTGAGTGAAATATTCAATGCCTTAATATGGTGGTGGTTCCACAGATGTATACATGTATAAACATTCACTGAATTGCACACTGAAGATTTCTGCACTGCACCATGTAACATATATTGTATCTATAATAATAAAAGCATAACATGCTATTAGACCAGATGACCTTCCAGATGAAGTTGGTGCTGTGAGGAAGGAAGCTCCAAGTCCGGGTCCTGGGTGCCAGAGGGAAGCCGGTGCCGGCAGCCAGGGAAAGGAAGGCCTACTCTTGCACGAAGTTTGTGCATCAGGCCTCTAGTATATTATAATAAACAAACAAAAAAGTCTATATATACCTTCCAGAGTAGAGAGACTAAGCTACAGAATCTTTCTAAATAGAATCCAATATATTTCTCAAAAATGTAATGGCTTATAGCTATTTTATGAAAAATTTTCCATAATGTATACTAGTTATTAAATAAAGTATATGAATAACTATACTCTTATTTAATTTACTGTACTGGGTTCTAAAACAGTACATGAAAATATCATATATATATATATATATATATATATATATATATATATATATAAAACAATTAACAGATTGCTATTTTGTAGAATTTTAGTAATATTCTTCTAAGAAAGTATTTCTGGACCTAGAGAATAGATCAATTGGATCACAAGCAATAAAAGAAAGAAGAATCAACTTTTCTAAATGCATATGAGTCAGATACAATAAATAGGCACTTCATAAATATTCTCATTTGATTCTAAGCATCCTATGCAAGGCCGGTATTATTCTCTTAACAAATGAAAAATCTGAAGCACAGAAAGGTACAGTAGCTTGATTAGAATCACAGAACTAGTAAGTCTTCAAAATAAAGACTTAGAAATTCATCATTGGATAATTGTTGAGGAAACTGTTCAAGAGAAGTAAATGTCATTATTAGTAACAGACTTATATATGACAAATATGATACAAACCTAACTAACAGCTATACATGTCTATCATACACTACAGTGTTTGAATTTTCACACACTATGAAAATTGGCAAATTGTCATGTCTGTTTGCACTCAAGATGATTAGTTCCATTTTAACATCTGATTTTACTCAAAAAATCTTGGTAAAGATTAAATTCTCCTTCAGGTCAGATGCTGAAAATCAATCTAAGAGATATCAAAGCTAAATGAGGCAGGCTGGACAGAGATGTTTGCCTAAGACACACTAAAAAAAAACAGTAAAGGCAGTAATCAAAGCCAATTTGTCTAACAGCCCCTTCTGTGACCAAGAGATCCCCTCCCCTCACTTTCCTCTTCCTATTGCCAATCTCTGTAAGAACTAGAGATTTGCTCTCTGAAGAAAATGAGCCAGTAATATTCTAGATTCAGAAACATCAGGTACAATTGATTACCTTTTATTGTACATGGAAAATCTACACAGTAAGCAAAAGCCTACATATGAAGAATTGAGACCTCTTCAGCCCCTTTCTCTCATTCAGCTCTACAAACTACAGGCATATAATTGAAGGATTTCTCGCCAAGGGAAAAAGTACTGAACTAACAAAATATCACTATGTAACTTCTTTGTTTATTGACAGGATGATAGGAAGTATGTGGGAACAGAGGTATAAGAGATCTAAATTCTCATCCTCCAACGTCAATACATAATATGAAGAACAACAAAAAGAATAACCAAAGCAGACAAAACCAGAAATAATATAAGCATGTTTCTTATACTTACGGTAACAAATATTAGAGAAAAACTAAATGTGTTGAGTGTGGTTACTTCTAAGAAGTAACAGGGTAAGAGTCTGCTAGTTTTTGTTATAACACTCGACAGAACTATTTGGTTTTTAAAATGGTATACATGAATAAACCAATAAATGTACAAACAAAAACTTCTGGGTGAATCTGAGTGACATCCACAAATAATAATATTTTAAAAGGAATTAACACAACAAATTTAAGTAGGGCTAAAGTAATACTTAATAAATAATCCTTGATAAAACAGTAAAGTGTTGAAAATAAGAGGTCCTAACAGATCTTGCATATACAACACAAACGTACATGGTCCTGGCTCTGCCATTAACTTGGCAAGTAACCTAATGACTCTAAATCTATTTTCTCATATGTGAAATAAAGTCAATGGAACAATAACCGGGGAAAAAAATCCCCCCAAATTCTATCTTCCTTTACAAATATGACTGTAGAATGAGTCCAAGTAAATTAACTTTCATTTAGCTAAATCCATCATCCTTATACTCCTTTGGCTTCCCATCTCAATATGCATCCACTAGGTAACCCCCTGTTTATAATTCTATTTGTACTATTGATTTGGTTAACAAGTACTTCAACAAATGAAAAAAGGAGAAGATTCAGCCTACTAAATATTCATCAACCCCAAGTTGTTTCACTGTTAATAACTGGAACAGGCTAGTTTCCCCCAATTCTTCCTTGTCACACAGGCTACTGCTATTATTTTCATAATGCTAAATTTTTGGGTATGATAATGATACTGTGGTAATTTATGAGGCTCTTAGGATGCTGAAATACTTACAGGCAAAATGAACCACTTTTAGAAAATAAAGACAGAAAAAGAAAAGGAAAGGAAATGCACAACAAAATGTTAAGAACAGGTTAATCTAGGTAAAGGGTATATGGGTATTCATTATGCTCTTGCATCTTTTCTTTTGGCTTGAAATTTTTTAAACAAAAAGCAGGAATGCACCCATATATATATCAAGACATACACAAGAATATTCACCAGCACATTACTGATAAGAGAGCAAAGTGGAAACAATCCAAATAAACACCAACAGTAAATTTGACAAGTAAATGGTAATAAATCAATGGACAAGTAAATTACAGTATATTCATATTACAACGAGTACTATAATACAGCAATGAAAATGACCAACTACTGTTAACACACCACATGGGTGAAACTCACAAATAATGTTGAACATATTAAGCTATACACAAGTAAGATGAACAAATTATTTGTTGAATAAATATTCCAGACAAGACTCAGATAATATCAGGGCTATTATTTATCTCTGTTTAGCAAAGGTTTTATTCACAGACAGTACAAGTAAGATTAAAATGGAAATGTATAAGTTATTTAGGAGAATAAATTCCTTTCAGGCACATTTATAAAAACTACCCACATACTATTGATCTGCTCCACTAATTAATCATAATGCACTGCTGATTTGTCAACTTTTTTAAAGACCTAGTTTGAATCAGAACTTGTACTTGGTAGTTACAAACCTACACTACAATGACTGTTCTTCATTGAATAAGAGTTTCAACCTTTACTATAATTAACTAATTTTAATTATAACCAGATATAATTTTTAAAAGAGAGCGATATAAAATACTTACACTAACTTTGAAAACTTGTACAGTGTTATCCAGAAGAAAAATGTTGCAATCCACCTCTGTATGCTGTCTGTCTCGGGCCAACTCTGATGCTCGTACATTGTAGGTTCTGCCAGCAGGCAAACGGAAACGTGAGGTCATTACTGTCCACACAAGGTCTAAGTTGGGGAAAAAAAAACAATCACTGAATAAAACAGTTCAAGATTCAGAGTAGTTTATTTAAAACACAAATTTACTATGTATTTTTCAATTACCACTTAGGTAAAAAGCAGTTATAAATTTTGAAACAACCAGATAAGAATTTGTAAGTATAAAAGAAGATACCATACATATAGTTCATTATCTAAACTAAAATTACAACCTACCTAGAAAAAGGTTTATTTTTAACTGTTCCACTGAGAAAACAGAAATATTGTTCAGGGAATAATATTCCAATTCAAAACATATAAATTTAGTAGTCAAAAGAGGGAAAAAGAATTTGCTACTTCAGGAAGTTGAATAGTACTCATTGATGCAAGTATTAAAAACACTGCAAATTGGCAACAGGAGGGGAGATTTTTTTTTTAAATATATTTTTACTGATTTTTTACAGAGAGGAAGGGAGAGGGATAGAGAGCTAGAAACATCGACGAGTGAGAAACATAGATCAGCCGCCTCCTGCACGCCCCCCACTGGGGATGTACCCGCAGCCAAGGTACATGCCCTTGACCGGAATCGAACCTGGGACCCTTGAGTCCGAAGTCCGACACTCTATCCACTGAGCCAAACCAGTTAGGGCGGAGGGAAGATTATTTAACTCTGATGGGTTCCTCCCTTTATTAAGCGCATAAGACTAAAAGGAAACATGGAGTTGTGTGTTTTTTTAAATACAATGCCCTTCATTTTAACTATCCTCAAATTCAAACTAATTCTAATAGGATTACTCTTACTCTTTTATTTTAAATTAATTCTTTATTGTTCAGATTATTACAGTTGTTCCTCTTTTTTCCCCCATAGCTCTCCTCCACCCGGTTCCCCCCCCCCCCTCCACCCCCCCCCCCACTGTCCTCATCCATAGGTGTATGATTTTTGCCCAGTCTCTTCCGACACCCCCCCCATACCTCTTCCCACCCAAAAATGGTCAGTCCACTCCCTTTCTATGCCCAATTCTATTATATTCACCAGTTTATTCTTTTCATCAGATTATTTTTCACTTGATTTTTAGATTCACTTGTTGATAGATGTGTATTTGTTGTTCATAATTTGTATCTTTACCTTTTTCTTCTTCCTCTTCTTAAAGGATACCTTTCAGCATTTCATATAATACTGGTTTGGTGGTGATGAACTCCTTTAGCTTTGTCTTATCTGTGAAGCTCTTTATCTGACCTTCAATTCTGAATGACAGCTTTGCTGGGTAAAGTAATCTTGGTTGTAGGTTCTTGCTATTCATCACTTTGAGTATTTCTTGCCACTCCCTTCTGGCCTGCATAGTTTCTGTTGAGAAATCAGCTGACAGTCGTATGGGCATTCGCTTGTAGGTAACTGACTGTCTTTGTCTTGCTGCTTTTAAGATTCTTTGTCTTTTGCTCTTTTAATTATGATGTGTCTTGGTGTAGTCCTCTTTGGATTCCTTTTGCTTGGGGTTCTCTGCGCTTCCTGGACTTGTAAGTCTATTTCTTTCACCAGGTAGGGGAAGTTTTCTGTCATTCTTTCTTCAAATAGGTTTTCAGTATCTTGCTCTCTCTCTTCTTCTGGCACCCCCATAATTCGGATGTTGGTATGTTTGAAGTTGTCCCAGAGGCTCCTTACGCTATGTGCATATTTTTGGATTCTTTTTTCTTTTTGTTTTTTCGGTTGGGTGTTTTTTTGCTTCTTCACATTTCAAATCTTTGACTTGATTCTTGCAATCCTCTAGGCTGCTGTTGGAACTCTGTATAATATTCTTTATTTCAGTCAGTGTACGCTTAATTTCTAGTTGGTCCTTTTTCATAACCTCAAGGGTCTCACTAGATTTCTTGAGGGTCTCACTAAATTTATCTGTGGTTTCTAGAAAATTCTTGAAAAACCTTAGAAGTGTGGTTTTGAACTCTATATCCAGTAGTTTGCTTTCCTCCATTTCTGTCATTTGTGACCTGTTTCTTTGTCTCTGCATTTTTTATGCTTCCTTGTGTTGATAGAGTGGCTTTCTGTGCTAGGTGTCCTATAGGGCACAGTGGCTCAGCCTCCCCAGTTACCTGAGGTGGACACTCTTGGTGCACCCCTTTGTGAGTCTTTTTGTACTTAGGCCTTGATTGTTATAGGTATCACTGGGAGGAATTGACCTCCAGGCGAATTGGCTGTGAGAATCAGCTGTGTCTGCAGTGGGAGAACTTCTGTGCTGGAGACACCCTTCTGGGGCAAGACTTGCTTCAGTGGGGCTCACTGAGTCTGCCCCCTGAGTGTGTCCCTTATGGGTCTGAGGAGTTGTAATCTGGATGGTCCCACGCTGACCACTGGGTACACAGTCTCTTGGATCTCTAAGGAGGTGCTAATTTAGCCTCTGCCTGAGGCTACACAGCAGGAGCTATGGAGAGATCTGCAGATTCCTCTTCTTTGGGGTTTGGAGGTGACCAGGTGAAGCCCAGCTGTGAAGCAATGAAAGCTGCTGTGGGGTCTTGGGCCTTCTTCTGGAAGTTCTATGTCTCTCTGACCCAGCTGCAGTTTGTTAGGTAATTTTCAGATTGCAAAGGGCCAGGCCTTTCATATCCAAAAGCCTCTGTGCACAGCTTGGGTGGGGCGGGGTCTCAGGGGATTAACAGGGTGGAGCAAGCAGCTATGGCTGCTCCTCAGTCCTACCCTAAGAGGCTCCGCAAGTCACTTTCCTGGTAATCGCTGCAAGCACCTCTGAGAGAAAGCCGCCCTGGAGTTCCAACCGATGCCAGACAGTCCAGTTTCTCCCCATATGAGTCTGGGTCCCCAGAGACTCGCCCGGAACTGGAGTTCAGAGCAGTTAGGAGCTTGAGACTCCCTCCCGATTGAAAAAGACACCGGTGTCCTCCGTTGCCAGCCTCTTTCCTCACATGCTCGAGCCTCCGTACCTCTGCACTTTACTTCCGCAGCTCCTCTGAGTCTCAGTGTGCTTTTCTCTTTCCTTCTAGTTGTAGAATTCCCACTCAGCCAGCCTTCCTGTGGTTCTGGATGATGTCCGTTTTGTCTTTTACTTGTATTTTTGAAGTGGTTGTGCGAGGCAGTAATTTCCGGTGTTTACCTATGCCGCCATCTTGGTTTTCTCAGATTACTCTTATTCTTAACACAAAAACAAAAACTTAAGACTACAGATCTTTGCATCTCAACTTGTAACCCAAGAGGGAAAAAGTATATTCCTACAGAAGAACAGGTATCACACCAATATAAGCAGCATTTGATATTACAAAACAATGAAGATGTAGCTTCAAAGTTTGAAAGAAAATTACAGTAAACCCTCAATTTTAAAGAGTCTGATTTAACAGACTTTGGACTTAATGGACAAAATTTCCGGTCTGTATGTCATATGTGAAAAATTAACACCCAATTAACCAAGCTTTGCTTAGAAGTAACTTAACAGGTTTTCTCGTTATTTTTAACAAATTTTAGCAAATAGCCATATGTTGGGAAAAACACTAGTAATTTTAATGACATAAATAAATATCAGATATGTACAATTATAGCTTACATATTTAAATTAAAGAGTCACCGCTGGTAAACAATGTTCAGTGAATGATTACACCACATTTCCCATGGTAACTGGTTCTGTTGTCCCATGGCGTGACGTTCTGCAGTAGTTTTAACGCATGCCAGCTGGCTGATGTCCTTATATGTGTTAAGCCATACCCCAGCCATGTGCCCCAGTCCTGTGCATTTGTTTACTTGTGGTGACTGGTAAATGCATGTACTTACTACACCTATTCAGTATAAATTTAAAATTACTGTAATACATATAGAAAGCTTTTCTATGAAATTAAAATTTTCACACATACATAATTTTAATTACACAAACATGTCTACATAAGCAAAAATAGGTAAACTAATTTGTCAATTTTTTAACATATGCTTTTGGAAAACCTACTTAATTATATAACAGACACCCACTTGCCTGAATTAGTCTGTTATATTGAGTCTTTACTGTATTTGAAACACAGAAGTATATACCCCCCAAATTAGAATTTGTATTGTGGACCCTCAGAAAGAAGACATCTACTAAGAAGGGCTCCTGGTGGTTAACTGGGCTCAAACTTAAAAACAACAACAAAGACAAAAACAGAGCCCAGAGCCCAGCAGCGATTTCTACAGAGGGACGACTCACACAAACTGCACTTCAGGGAGAAGACTGCACTAAACTCCCTGCCTCTGTACTGAACTGCCTGCCTGCAGTGTGTTTCTGCCACCTAAGCCAACCCTTACAAAGGAGTTCCGGGAATCCTATTTAACCAAAAGGACTAAGGCTTTCCCCATCCAATCAAACCTGCACAGCTGCAACCATCCAGAGTAGCTCTATTCTGACCAATCAGGACAATGTCTTTTGGACCAATCAAACTTTGAAGATTAGGAAACCTGTTGTGAAAGAGAACATACCAACCAATCAGGGACCAGGGACAGGGACTTCTGTCCATATAAGCCAGCTCCCCTCTGGCTCTGAGAACATACTTTCCCTTTCCACCAAAGACTGCAGTTCCCCAGCTGAGCTGAAACACCAAAGATGTCTCACCTGAACAAAGCAGAGCACACCAAAGCAAGCCAAAGCAGACAGGCAGGAAGCAGAGCAGATCAGTGAGGAGCAGAGTTGAGCTATCTAGCCAGAGAAAGGCCTGGCCCCAGGAATGGCTAGTCCTAGGGCTGCTTCACAGCCATGCTGTATCACAACTAAGCTGTTCCAATCACGCTGCTGTCACAGCCATGCTGTATAAAAATTGAATTGTTTTGCACTGAATAGTGTACTTCTTCACCACATTCTAAATCGGGGATTCCTTTTGGCGTTGAAATGGAGTCAATGACCATTGTTTAACAATGTGAAAGAATAAAGCTAAAGACATTTTCCAACATTCAAGGATTCAAAGTTTAAAATTCATAAGGTTGAGAGACAGGCATATATGAAGAGTCACAACTTACCAGAGTAGAGACACACAAGCAGAAACTGCCATAGGAGCCAATGCATGAGTAGTAG